GGAGGAAACCGTAATAACGAGCTTACGAGGCTTCGCTAAGTAGGCTTTTTGCTTAAGTGTGTTTTTCCAAGGTTTTTACAAGGTTATGTATGTGTGTCCCCTCTAAAATGGAGGTGACACAACCCTTTAATACGTGCATTCGGATAGTAGTTGAGAGTTGACGGGTTACGATGTGGATTACATGTATAATCTCTCGTAATCTGGACTTGAGTTAGTTTTGTCTATACTTAAGTTAAGAGTAATGATGTTTAGATCTAATGGACTTATTGATTAAATCATCTGTTGTGAGAGCGACACATGGCGTGATGTCCGTTCGGTCTTGGCATGGTTCGCAGGCAACTGGCATGAATTGGACCGTTGGAAAATCATGCACAACAAATTCTTTTAAAAACATATATTTAATCAAATATATTTCCTAACACGTTTCTAATTATTTATACGCAAGCCAAAGGCGTACTCTCTATATAAATAATTGATAAACAATATGGGTTTTAAAAATATTCGATACTGACAAAAAGCTTTTATTAAAAAGATGCTCAGCTTGTCTCATGTTTAGAATTTCTCCTCTTTTGATCTGAAGTTTCTATGAGTGATCCATGCAGGTACCATTATGTTGACCAATACTCCATGCAACAGAACACAGAAGTTCAAAATTCTCCTTGACTAATTCATGTGCAGTTATTAAAATTAAAAGTATTATATATGTGTGTGTGTGTGTGTAATCCAGACCAGACCCTGTGTAAATGTTGAATAGAATTTTTCCAAAATTTCATAACAACCTTTTAAAAGTATTTCCCAATCAGGACTTGTGTCTGAATCTTTGAATCCAAAAGTGGGTAGGTATAGTTGATTTTGACGAAGCAGTTTCTAGGAAGGATGGTGAGCGTGTTATGTGAGATCCCGCATTACGGCATTAGTCATGCACTCATGCTTCTTCTAAAACAATAATATGATTAAGGATTAAAATAATTCCTTCATTATTACAAATAGACAAAATAAGATTTCCCACTAAATGCTTAATTCCCGTGTTCCACACCCACAATTCAATTTTTCGTTTTATAGTCATTCAAACTTTGGTTTGACGGTTAAAAAGATTTGTTATATTTTTTAAGTTCTTAGGTTCAAATTTTAGAACCACCTATTATAATAATATTATAGCTAATCTGGTCCTTTGCATTTATAGAGTATTCAATAAACACCAGAGATTAGTTAAAATATGCATAAGTTGGTCTGGATATCTTGTTAAAAAAAAAAAACATACGCTTTTCTTAGAAAAAGATAAAAATATAAAACGCTAAAATACACACCCTTGCCAACAATACTGATTTTCTTTAAGAGAAAAAAAAATCAATGACTTAACTACTCCTAGATGGTTGAGTGGTTCGATAAAGACATTTGAGTGTATTATTTAAAAGGTCTTGAGTTTGAGTTCCTTCTCAGTTGTTAATGGGGTAGCTATTAAAGCTTTTATCCGATCGATAGTTTCAAAGTTTTAAAAAATTAGTTGAGGTGTATGTAAATAAACTCGAACACTTTCAATCATTTAAAAAAACAGAAAAAAAAAAAAAATCAATGATATGACCATGAATAAATAGAAGGGTAGTATTAATTGTGATAGCGTGACACGGTGCGTGATGTAAGATCGAGGAAGGTGTGTATGTTGTGAATCAGCAGTACTGACAGTATGTGAAAGGAGGAAGCTTACACTCAACTTACTTAGAACTGGATTATATATGGACCGCGTATATTTACTCACAAGGCGCCGCTTGAGTCGAGAGTCCTTGCCACGGCACGTTTCTTATCTTCCGACTCTTCCACTGTATTAACCATTGTACTTTTCTTTCTTACTCGCTTTCATACTTAATTCCCCTATTACGTCTCCACGCGCTCTGCTCTACTGTAGCCTAACCGCCATCTACAAGTTGTTTGGTACAACCAATCTCTATCTAACTATCCGACTTTTATTAAAGTATTCAACTTAGATTTTATGTTTTATTGACTCACTACTTATTATATAAACTATTTAACTTAAGAATTTATTTTTTAGTTATTTCATTGACTAGTGACTTTAATAACAGCTTGTGAAGTAAGTAAAATAAAAGTCAAACATCATAAATTTCAGATACATGAGTATATATGTCTATATTATTTAATTTTTTTGATAAATAGAAAAAAAAAAATTGTTTGATTGGGATATTTAATTTAGAGTGGCTTTTATTGAATTTTTAAAAATTCAAGCATAAGTCTAGATACAATGTTTCTAAAAATAAAAAAATAAAAAAAAAAGTAATTTTGTAGGTAAAATCTAAATCATGAATAATCAAGTCATAAATGGTTTAGTCTATTCAAACTATAGATATTGCCACTTTCACATAACTGTACATAATTTGAATTATTTCAATGTTTTCATAATTTCTCTTGATATTTTCAGATGTATTTGGCACAGCGTATAGTGCGCCTCGAATAGAATAGATATCTAGAATCGTCAATGCTGAAGGAAGACTGTGGTTCAAACGGCTCTTTACCAAGTTTAGATCATCACATACGCGGACACGCTAACGAAACGTGGCACACCCGGCGTTCGTACTTTCTTATCCATAAGTTCGGTCATATTTACACTAGAACCATCATGATTTTTCTTAATCCCCAAGTCATCAAGGGCATATCTGCCATCTAGTCAACGACAGATACAGGTCATACTCTCTAACTTACAACCTATAAATACAACCACATGTATCCGTTCCATTCCTCAACAATCAACAAAACAAAATCACAAGTAGAGTAAACATTTAGTTTTCAGAAGTTCAATTTCAGATTCATCAATTCAGTTCACACTTAAGCGCATGAAGAGAAGCATTGCAGAATTGAGGTGAAGTTAGAGCATGGACATGGCCAAGGGTTTGAGTTGCTCTCTAAGGTGGCGAAACCGATTCGGGAAACGTGTCTTTACGTGCAAAACATGCAACAGGGAGTTCTCGTCATTTCAGGCGTTGGGCGGGCACAGAGCTAGTCACAAGAGCCGAAGTTGATGGGAGGAGAGTGTTTTGATAATACCCAGATGCCTGCTTCTCCTAAGAAGCCTAAAACACACGAGTGTTCGATTTGTGGGCTTGAGTTTTCCATCGGCCAAGCGCTTGGTGGGCCCATGAGGAGAAACAGGGTGCTATGACGGTGATGCGTTGGTACTCGGCCTCTTTTGCCGGTTCCAGTTCTGAAGAATCGAACAGTAGCAAGAGAGTTCTGTGCCTGGATTTGAACTTGACGCCGTACGAGAATGATTTAAGTTATGGGTGGCTAGATAGTTATTGTATTTAGATACTAGGTTTAGTTTCTTCCTTTGTTTACCAACTTGTTGGAATTTTGTGCGCGGGATTTGTTCATTGTTCTTCCGACAGTCACAGATATTATTTTCGTTTAATTTCTTGTATATGATTCAGACTTGTTTCAGTGAGATATTATCTATGATTCTATTTGAGTTATTTTATTTATTTAAACTTTCCTCAGCAGTACTGAATTTATTCTTCTTTTATTGAGAGGGTCTGCATATTTAAAATTGTTTGATTTTCTTCAATTCATAAAGTTTGCCTGGGCATGCATCTGTACAAATTAAAGGAAACATCCTTCCTAAACTATTTGCCGTTTGTCATGGCTAGAACATTTGCAGAGTGATATTCTCTCCATTTTATGCACCGAATTTACAATATCAACCTTGATTGCTGGAGGGAGAAGATATAATTTAAGTTTTATTACTTATAGTATGTATAAGTATAAAAAGCAATTTCAGAATACTAAAATTATACGGTAGGTTATGTATTCTACTGTATTTTTTGCTTAATATATCCTATCCTTTATGCTTCTCAGTCCATTAACAAATTATATTTCGACTGAGTTGGAGAATCTATTTGTGAAAAAATAACGAAAATGATTAAACCTTTACGCGTGTTTGGAGTTTAAAAAATAAAATAAAATTTTATTTCAATCGCTTTCATAATGATCACGCAATTAAGCAATCTTTAATGCCTATATTTATGGTAGGCAAAAAGTATCCAAGCCACCTCACTTATCAAGTGCCGAAACTTCTTCAACCGTTTTTAGTTATCTAACTAGTATCTAAAGAGAGTAGTAATCAGATAAGCTTAGCTATACTAAAATATCGTTTTCTCTTGTTTCTTATTTTATTCTCAATTACGTCAATCAACCACTACAAATCTTATTAATTCATACTATAATTAATTAAGACTTTTCACAAATAATAATTTAAAACACTTTCTCATCACTGACTTTTAAATATTATTTTAATATCTAAATTTATATTCCGATAGAGAACAGAAAACAAACTTATCCAAACTATTAGGATTTTTAAAAATGAGTGATCGATGAGTTTTTTAATGGTAAATATTAGGTTTTGGTGTTTGAAATTGATCGAAATTGACTTAAGAGAGACAATTGAACAAATTCTAATCGTTTAATTATCAACAATTGACAAAATTGACGAGAGTAAAGTTCAAAGGATTTTAGTAAATAATGATTAAAAATAAGAATAATAGTGATGTGTAATTATAATAATATCTAAATCAAAAATAAAATATAAATTTAAATAATAAAATTCCTACTCGATCAGTAAAACTATATTTTCACAAAAACATCTACAGAAACAACGTTAACACTAACTTTTTCTTAACGATTACAGGCCGAAACTTGATTGGCTACATAAAAGAGAAACCTAATTTTGTACTCTTTCATATTTTATCCATCCATATTCGGCCACGTGTTGGGTACAAAGTCCACCCGTTCGTTTAAGATCTTTTACTATGCTATATCCAAAAGACCAAAAAACTCCCTCAACAAGTGGTTCACCAGATCAACGGCTTGTATTCATCATCCACCATACACGTGTACGACAAGATGACATGCAACCTTGACTTACTGATCGTGCAGGTGTATTCTATTTTTATATTCGAGAAAAAATCAAGTGTCCCACGCACACCACATTAACCGTTGTTCTTTAATTTTCGTCGCCGGTGTCGCTTCGCCGGAAATTCGAGGCGCTGCCGCCTACGATCAACTGTCGATCAGGTTTCCGGTGATCGTTGAAGGTACGCATACACAGTCGAACAATATTTGTACACATTATTGAGTTAAAATGAATTGCATGTAAAATTTTAAAATCAAAGCACTTTTCTGAGAAATGAACGGCCGTTGTGGAATTTTTGTGTTACATAAGCTTTGTCCGTGTAACGTAATGTTCTATATTGTAAGTGTCTCTGTGTGTGTTGTTTTTTGAGAAAGAGCGTGAAGGATTTTGTTAGTAGGCTAAAACGACTGTCGTTTGTGTGTCAGAGGTTGCTCGAAATTTTGAATGAAAGAAGAGTGGAAAGTGGAAAGTGGAAAGTTTAGTGTACGGATTGAAGACGAAAAATGGTACGTTCTAGTTTTTTTGAAGTTCTTGCAGTATTTTTTTAGTATTTATATTTATCTGGACTTCTTTAATTAGAACTTATATTTTAAATATATAAGAGAAAATTAGTTTAAATATATATCATGGAATGTGATTGTGAAAAGGGAAAAATTTAGTGGTTTAGTGAACATTCGAAGGTGAAATTATGCAGGGGCCTTGACTGAGTTTGGATAACAGTCTACTTGGGTACTAATTGCGATCAATTTTTAGTTCAATACTCAGAGCAGTATAGACAGTGCTTCGAAATCATTAAATTGGAGACTTCAGAACACTCTTCACTGTTCAGTTGAAGCCACTCCAGGGAGAGTAAATTGGAGGGTTTGCATTTATTACTTGTAGTATCTCTTTTGAAGATTTTTTTATCCACAAATTTGAGAAGAGTCTCCTTTATTGTAATTAACAAGTTAAATGATTTCTGGGCTAGTAAGTTAGGTTCCCATAGAATGCCAATCAATGTGGTACTGTTGAAAGTATTTAGAAAGGTTTCCATATAGTTGTACAGAGGAAATGCTTTTTGTTGCTTGAATATTGCCATTGGGCACAGTGAATGAGTTGGTTCCTAAAAAATGCTAGTGCCATAAATTTTTCCATTGGCTTTCTGTAAATGAATTGTTCCTGAATTTATAGATGCTATAAGTTTGCTGAATTTATTAAAGTATCCATTATACTGGTCTAACAACTTTCTCATCAAAAATTTTTTTTGTTTTGATGTGTAAATGTCAATCCTTATTGCTATTAGTGGGTAAAATATGGTTGGAAAGTGATATACCTATAAAAATAATTGTTTTATGCTTTATAGTAGAATTTGGTGCAAAATGATGGGGGACAAGGTTTTGTGAGTTATTTTATTTATTTTATAGTAAATTTGATAATCAACAAGTGTACAATGGTCTTTTAAATATTATTGTTTTTAACGATATCGGTGAATATCTGTTTTGAGTTTTGAACATATATTACAATCAGAATTCAGTTTTGTTTACACAAAAGAGGGAAGAGCAACGGTAGTTGTATTCTGAGTTGTTGCCTGGATTAAAGTTTTTCATTGTTCTTGGTGAATGAATCAAGTTGTTCCTGTCGCTGGGTCTGTTAAATGAGCAACTTCATAGTGATTGTTTCTAACAGTCTTTTCAGAACAAAGGATTTTGGATGGCAAAGGGCCCTGGGCATATAGCTGATGGAGATGCAGCATTTGATAATCCTTCCAGGATTGAACCAAAAAGGCCTCATCAATGGTTTGTCAGTACTGGTGAAGCAGAGCTGTTTCCAAACAAGAAGCAAGCGGTACAAGCTCCAAACGACAAATCAAGTGTTGAAATATCTAATGCAAATGTTCCTTACTGGGGAAACACTTCTAATTTTCAGTCAGTTCCAAACCAATTTATTGACCGGTTGCTTGGATCTGAATCTGCAAGGACCGTCGGTTTTACTGAAAGGAACTTATCTCCTGTTGGAACAGATGACATGAGAAGAAAGGGTATTGAAGAACATTTTGGAGAAGATGCATCTGCTGGATTGTCAATGTCTCATGCTATGGAAGATTCTGAAACATTTAGCTATGGTGGATATAGAAAAGTGAAAGTCAATCAGGTTAAGGACTCCAACAATGGTATGCATCCTCCAAAGGAACATAGTCTTGATATTGATAGTAATAATGACTTGTCTACAGCACATGCCTATAACAAGGAAATCCAAAGTAGTTATATGACAATGGGGCAAGCCTATAATAAGGAGGATGACAATGTTACATTGATGGGTCATACCTATAGTAGGGGGGATGTAAATATTAGATCAACAGGTCGAACTTATGGCAAGGTTGACGATGGTGCCATATCTTTTTCTGACACCTATCGGAAAGAAGATGCCAATATAATATCTTTTGTTGGATTTGATGACGAACATGATATTATCCCTGTGGGGCAGCCCATTAGTGGCTATGACCCACCATACTCTTCAGTTCAAACTTCAGAAGCAGCCTCTGGAAAGCAGTTGAATGCATCAAATGTGAATGCGTTTGCAGCCGTGCCTCGAGTTGCTAAATCAAAACTTGAATCTGTATCCAAGAATAAACTAGAGTTGAAAAGTTCCAGGAAAGAAGCTCCAAACAGCTTCCCTTCAAACGTTAGAAGTTTGATATCAACTGGTATGCTTGATGGGGTCCCTGTGAAGTATGTTTCTTTGTCACGGGAGGTAAATTCCCATTTTTTTTTGTCTGTTACTCTGATTTTTATGCTGTTTAGTGACTTATAGTTGTATCTTGGCATCTAACTAGGAGCTTCGTGGTGTTATAAAAGGCTCTGGTTATCTTTGTGGGTGTCAATTATGTAATTACAACAAGGTGAGTCGTTCAACTGTTTCTAAGTTTGCATGTGAAATTCTTGATGGCTAACAACTAGGATTTATGTGGTTGTATAAGGTGCTAAATGCTTATGAGTTTGAGCGCCATGCTGGTTGCAAAACAAAGCATCCGAACAATCACATATACTTTGAGAATGGAAAGACTATCTATCAGATAGTGCAAGAATTAAGGAGCACTCCTGAGAGCTTGTTATTTGATACAATTCAAACTGTTTTTGGTGCACCTATTAATCAGAAATCTTTTCGCATTTGGAAAGGTATGGATTCTTGTTTTGATTTTAAGAGTTCTCTGTATGCATTTGTATTTCCCTGACTTAGCGTGTCTGAGGATTTTGGTTGGGTGTGGAGTGGGTCTTGTTAAAAAGTTTTTTTCCTGCTTTGTATCATCTACTATTTTTCCACAGAGTCATTTCAAGCAGCGACTCGGGAGCTTCAGCGAATATATGGAAAGGAAGAACTGAACCTGTAAGATGTATAATGGGCATTTGGAAAGATGTAAGATAGAATAATCTCTGTGCATAGTAACAAGTATTTTGGTGGTAACTCTGTCATGATGAGCCAACTTAAGAGGTTTTTATTAGATTGGTGCACAATTGTTTAGGACTTACAATTGTGCTTCTTAGTTCATGGAGAACGATGTTTTTGACTTTTGATATACAAAAGGTGTGTAGTTAAGAATACAAGAAGAGAGCTTATGTAATTTAGGTTGGAGATGTAGGCCTTGTGTGGAAATGTGTCACATTTTGGTGTCATCAAAATTATTCTGTGGCAATGTAATCACCCTTTGGTCATTCTAGTTTCACATTTTGTTCTATAAATTATTATGTGACATAACTCTTAATCGTAATACTCTTCGATCATCGTGGTGTTTATTTTATCATTGTGTTTCTGTTTCATAAGTTAGTGGATTCTTGACATATTATTAGACATATCCAAATTTCATGGTCTTTAATTAATTCATAGAGAACTTTAAAAAAAGGGCAAATGGTGGCTTCCTGCAGCTTTCCAAAAAAAAAATAATAATTTCGAGGCAATTGCACCAGGATTTGGAAGGAAAACCAGTATTTTTTTTTTTTCTTTCTAAAATTACAGAGACTAACAATATAAACATATATTATGACACAGTAAAGAGGCCGGAAGAAAAAAAGAAAAGAAAATTGTGTCAGAAGATACAAAGAACTGTTGCCACAAAATAAAATTCTCGATAATTAAAGACTACATTTCACACACTAAAGCAAGATTAAAAAGAATGACATAAGAAATATTACAAGCACCCATCATATTGTCAATCACAATTAGTTCTTTTGTTTTCCATTTACCATTTTCCTTTTCCATGTGTTACACCAGGATTTACCTCCCGCTCAGAAATAAATTGAGCTTCTTAGGAACCACAGCAAGCTGATTTTTGGGAAGCTTGACCAGCCCCGCCTGCCTCTGCTTGATTAATCTTGATCGTAGCAGGCTGCAAACAAGACAAGAACATTTTAAGTCTACTGAAACAAGGTATAGTTTCTAAAGAGACCATTGAATTTCTTTTTAATCTCTTTTAATAAAATTCAGCAAGGTGTTCATATACCTCTGCCTTTGAATCAGTATCGGCAAGCCTTTGTTTTATATCCCTTGCTATTGAAAAGAAAACTTGCTCAACATTTAGATTTGTCTTTGCACTCTGCAGTACAGAATGTTTGTTAGATTAACCATCATCCACCCAACTAGCTTCAAAAATCACAAAGTGACACTTACAGTTTCAAAAAATTTGATACCATACTCATCAGCAAGTGCTTGGCCCTTAGAGGTAGGCACTGCCTGAAAACAATAAAATGCACAAAGTACCATCAGAACATTGAACATGAGCACTCCCATCAAAAGATAAAAAAGTTAAGGCACCAGCAAGAGAGAATAATTTATCCTATAAGATATAGATGCAAAAAATAGCCACTCTTCTTTTCTTTACAAATACACAGAAAAGGTCCATGTCCTTCCTGTGCATAGATGCACATATCACAAACTCACTCAGTAACTATACAGCAATGGAAAGATTAAAAAAAAAAAAAAAAAAAAAACAATATGCAAACTAGCATACCCTTTTGCTCTCATCCATGTCAGCCTTGTTCCCTACCAATATCTTGTTAACATTATCAGAAGCATGTTGTTCAATGTTGCGAATCCAGTTCCTAATGTCTGAAAAAGGTAAGAAGCCAAGTTGTATAAGAAAACTTAAGATAAACAGATAGATCCATATAATAAGGAAATTGTAGGGTAAAATCACTGCATTTCTGAACCATCCAACTCAGTGAAACAGAGGACCTTAAAAACATACAAATGTTAAGCAAAAAGATTTAACTTAAGAATGTGAAGGGACAACTATCCTAAGTATTAACTAATATAAGTAGGGGAATGAAGATTACTATTGAAAGATGATTCATCTGTCACATCATAGACCAGCAAAATTCCCATAGCTCCACGGTAGTAAGCTGTAAAAAGAGATAACAAAATAGAGTTACTAAAGCAAAATTCAAATGAAACATATACAGCTCTAGAAAATAGTGGCAACAATACCAAAGAACTAAGAAAACTCCACAAAATGAAACATTGGATCCATATTTGACTAGGACTAAAAGAATCAGATTAAAAATATCTACAAGCTTCCCTGCTGCCATTATATCAGGCATTAATGTTACTTCTAGTACCAAAGTATTTGCTTTGGTGTGTTCTATGCCACAACAAACTCATACACTGCCTCTCACACAATGTAACATTGATGCCTACCTGAATAAAAGAACCAGGAAGCTATTATAATTTGAGTGATAACTAGAAAAAGTAAAGTACGCAAACACTTGCTCACAAGATTTAATCAGAGCATTGCCAGCAGCTATGGAATAATCCAGTCAATTGGCTGAATGGCAGTATCTAAGACATCAACCAACCAGAAAGGAAGGGTGCTACCACTAGGACCTCTGTAGCTTAACATGCAGATCGCAATGATCTCCATGGACTAATAAAGCTGGACATAAACTAGTATCCCTATGTTTACTAAGAATCAAGCCCAACTCGCCATATTCTCCAGCCATGTTATGCTTAGTTTGATCTCCAGTTCCACTTGCACTTAGGAAGCCACATACCATTTCCACGAACCTACTAGTGGTATTTCAATGGGACAATTATTCTACAAACCAGATTTCTGTCCTCGGTTACACTCTTGCAACCATATCCACCTTCCAGAAATCTCTAAGGCTGCCCTCTTACCCTACACATGGAAGGTTTTCACTTTGTTGCAAAATTTTATTTGGTACACCTATTCCATGAAAAAACAGTTTTCAATGTTTCTTCCATATTTAAGAAAAACATAAAAATAAATAGGCTTATGAAATCAATAGTGTTCAGCTCGATCATCTCCAAGGTAAATAACAAATCTCAAATGCACCATGATTTTAGTTTTCTTTAAGTCATTCAAGTAACCTGTGATAAGCCGGGCAACTTCCATACATCTAATCTACCCTGTACGATTGAAATGAATGAAATTATAAAAACAAGATATTTACCAGTTGTGATTGTTCGAAACCGCTCCTGACCAGCTGTATCCCAAATTTGAAGCTTGATCCGTTTTCCATCAAGCTCAATGGTTCTTATCTTAAAATCAATGCTGGATGAGATAGAATGACTGTGTCAAGACTAGGAATTCATAAGAGGCAAATCTAGATACTACAGTATAACTCCACAATTCAGAGAATACACACCCAATGGTGGTGATAAAACTGGTGGTGAATGAACCATCTGAGAAACGCAAAAGAAGGCAACTCTTACCCACACCTGCAGAGGTACTAACAAAATGAAGATTAAAAGGCAAAATTATTAATGCAATTTTGTCTGAAGCAAACACAAGCTACAAACAGAAACTAGATGAGACTTCTTGTCTGAGATCCTCACTATTTAAAATATGAAGTTTAGAAATAAAAATTTAAACAAATTAAACTAAAGAGAAAAAAGAAGATATGCCTCAAAGGTTCCAGAAGCTATCCATTAAGGCAAAAGGAAAATCAGAAACATGTTACTAAACAATCAACTTGCTTTGATGTATAACTTTCACATAAGATAATTGTCCTGAACATAAACTAATTAGAATCCACCAAATATTATCAGAATTGTAAAGGAGTGTTTGGGCTCACAATATGTCAAATTAGCTTTAACAGAAACATCTTACTCACTTGTAGAGAGCCAAAAACTAAACAAGTTGTTCTCATAATATTAGGAAAAATTCTACTATACCCAATGGTATGAATACCAGGTAATATTCAAACCACCCGATAAAGATGAACAGATATTAATAAAATAATAAATCCTTAGACAATGGTGTTCTCCCCCAATATGATATTGTTTTAAGTATTATGGAATGATCCGTGAACTATAACACATCGTTTCACTGAAAGGGAAAAGAAGAGAGCAACCAATCCAGTAACACCCAAGCTATACCAAAGGTCAAAAGAGCTCCAAAAAATACATTTAAAGTCTAAAACAAATGAGTCGTCCAAATATCATTTCTGTTTGGTCCTTGAATCTCCACAATCAAGAAGTAAACTGTAAAATTAATTAAATAATTAATATAATTACCTCACCGTTATAGTTACTAGTAAACTAGTTCAAAGTCCAAAAGCCAAGTTCTAGTGAAACACACTCAAAAAGGTTTATAGGTTTGAAAAATGAACAAGGAAGCAAGCATTTCATGAGGAAACAGCATCATTTTGATCAATTAAGACATAGAAGATCAACTTCACGTTTTCGAACTAACTACGGCCAAACTGCTTCTTAACATATAAATGTTAATAAAAAATAGAATAATTAAAATCCTCTTCCAAACTAGATCCTTTAACACAAATGCAAACTAAATCTCAGCAATGAAATTGAATCATTAAATGCAATCAGATCTTAGTCAATTCAGAGAAATGATAACCTAAACAAGTTTTAAACTCATAATGCAACCTAGGCAAACTTTGATCAGTTTGTTTCTCGCGAAAACCACGAGAAAATAAAAAGGAAAAAACAAATGACGCACCGCTATCGCCAATCAATAGAAGCTTAATGAGATAATCGTAGTCAGCTCTAGCCCTCGCAGGTGGAGCAGCCATCTATGATAGAAATCAACCAAAAAAATTTCTACCTCTCTGCACATCAACACAAAAACGACAAATCAAAACGCCGAAAACGACACAACACATCCATATTCAGTCATGCAAAAGAAAATTTTATAAAAAAATTACCAGATCAGAAAAAAGTTAGAAAGTTTAGAGAGACAGAGAGGTTTGCTTGGTTGAATTTGAATGGAAATGAGATTTAAGTTATGATAGGTTCACCACCAGCTACAGGGTTACAAAACCAATTAAACTTCTCCGAAGAAGGTGGGTGGGGTGGCTAAAATGCGCCTTGTTTTTAAATGGCTTTTTGGGTGCGCCGATTACCTCCCTGCGCACGCTAGCAAGTCCTTTAAACACCAGCAAATGGACAAGTGATGTGTTTTTATACTCTCTACTCGTTTATTTGGAACCAATGAGACTGTGACATCTTTTATAAAGCTTCTCTGAGCTGGCATCCTAATCATCACCAGAATAGTTCTCCCATAGACCATTCTTTTTTCTTTTGCATTTAGTGAAATTATTAAGACTGACAGCCTTACTGATCTTGATACATTCTTTTAAAATCAAATATTAAATACAATTGATGATTATTTATTTCTAGACAGATATTATTGATGTAACGCGAAATTAATTAATTAAGTATAATCTAAGATTTTTATGAAATGATTTAATAATGGACCCATTCAAATTTATTAAGTAAAAAACTTAATGAGGTTATGTGACCCAGTTTGATTGACCTGGTTTTCTTTTTTATGGAAAAAGAAATATTGGTGTGTTTCAAGAACTACAAGATATAATATGGGTTAAAGTATCTTGAATGATCGAGTAGTTTGATAGAGACTCTTAGGTATAATAAGAAATACTAAGTTTAAGTCCTTCCTTGAATGCTAATAGGGTTACCAATGAGCTATTATTCGACCTATAGTTTCAACCTCCAAAGTATCAATGAAATAGTTAAAGTGCGTATAAATTAACCCGGACGAAATTGATTGCCAAATCTTCAAGTGGTGTGTTTAAATATAAATCAGTAATGACTAATGAATGTCAGGATGAATATAAGATAACAAGGAACTTTGTAATATAACATATGAATTTAAAATTAAACTAAGATTATATAATATACTATGACTTTCATTAGTCACCATACGTTTTATTAAATTAAATATAATTAACAACTTTCACAAGTAATCCTTTAAACAAAGATTAATATTACCATAAATATTGATTTATCTATTACTTGCATGGTAGATGTATCTACTTAGGTGCAACAGTTCTTTCTGAGACAATTATTTAGCAAAAAAATAACTTTTTTTTTAATAACCAAAGATGTTCGAGTCAACTTACGTGTACTTCAATTAATCATCTGGGACCCTAGAATTACTGATCAAATAAGAACTTCAGTGACTACCCCTATTAACAACTAAAGCAAAAAAAAGAACTTAGAGTTCTGCAACTACTCATTTGTAAACTGAGTTATATATTTCAATTTCTCAGCAACACCAAATTATAAAAGAAAATTTGAAACGGGGAGTTCATTTACCATGCTTTTGGGGCATAAAAGCTTCTTGGTTGCACAGACACTTAAAACATTTTTTTTTTAATATTGCTTTTGGAATTGAAAACAATAAGAATCTAGCTGGAGTATTATCTGTGTTTTTGGGCAATGGGGCCTTTGCGAATCTGCATTATTAACATTTGATAATTGATCTTTAATTCTCTACCAGACAATAAATTTTATAGTTTGTAAAAAGTTGACATTTTCTTTGTAAACTTTCTAGCAACTTTTCAACAATCAAACACTGAAAAAATAAATTATATTGGACTTGAGTACTTAACCAATATTGGGCTTTACAGCCTTATTATATATATATAAACGGTGGTCGGTCCACTTAATAATTTAGGATACATCGCCAATCTGCCTCTCCTGATAAATATAATATTAAGCCCACATGCACATCTCAAAGGCCGAAGCTTGAAAGAATTAAAATATGCTAACTCTAAGAATTAATTAAAAAAAAAAAGTGTACAATTAAATTAAGAAAAAAATTCCTCTTGGAATCAAACTTTTAATTAATGGAAAAAGAATATTAGGATTATTATTAAGAGTAAAAGACCTTTGTTCCCACTCAAGGGTTGCCTTAAACGACACTTTCTCTCCTAAAAAGTTTTAAAATATCACTTTCCTACCAAAAGTTAATATTTCATTAATATCCAAAATATATTTTACTTTCTCAGTCGACGTTCGACGAGTTATCAAGTCAAGGTAAGAGGGATTTTGTAGAAAGAAGACCGAAGGTTCAAATGATGGTGATAGAGAAAATTTTCACTGTAGAAATCGGCCGAAATTGGATTAGATAGAAACGAAATATTAACTTTGGATGAGAAAATGGTCTTTTGAAGCCTTTTGGGTGGGAAAGTGTCGTTAAGGAAAACCTTGGTTGGGAAAAAGTCGTTTAAACATTTTTAATATAGAATTTAAGAAAAGTTTTAACGCGTTGAAACATCTTATTAAAGTGAGTTATAAAGAAACTAAGTTGGGAAGCAAAAGGAGAATGGCCCGAAAATGGGTCTAAATTCTGAGAACTTTCTTGGAAAGTATCTTTTGGTATGTTATATTACACAGATACAGTCCAAAATACAGCGACATGGCAAAATATGAAACCAATAGCCAGAAGGGCAATTTGCTAAGAGTTCCTGCTTTCACATGTATCCCACTCTTTGGCCATTATAATCATAAAAATAACAAAAGTTGATGGGAAAAAAAAGGGGGCATCAACTTAATGCTTTAAGCATATACTTGGAAGATCCTCTTCCCACAAACTTAATCCGCTTCCTTTAAACCCCTCTCTAACCTCTCTTTCATTCTTTCTCTTTTAACCAAACCATCATCTCCATGCTTCATCTTCTTCAACTAGTGCAAAGCTGATTTATCCCATGTGATGCTTCTTCTGATGGCATCCTTCACTGCTCAGAACGCTGATGATGAGATTAGTGATGATGATCATCACATGAATATTAATCTTGGCCGTTGAAGTTTGTTTTCACAGATGGGCAACTATCTACCCCTTTGGCAGTACGTACATCTACAGGATGAGATATAATGCTTATGTGGTTCAAGCATGCAATATTGCTATCACCAGATAAGCTATTTTTGTAGAAAATAAAAAACCTTTTTTTTTTTTTTTTTGGTTTAATTTTGTTTTGTTTATGTTATGAGTACTGAGCTTGGATGAAACATTAATGTTGAAGCTCAAGTTTATTAATTATATGAGCTTGTTCTAGTGTTTCCTTCCTTGGATTTATTGGATATGTCATCTTTATTTACTCTCTGTTATCGTAATATATATTATATTATATCGTGTGTCATGTTTGATTTTAAATTAGATCAAATTGTTAACAATGATGGTAAACAATGTGATTCATCAGAAGGAGCTTAAAAATTCAAGGGTGCCTTATTTTAGTCTTTCCTTCTGCAATATAGAAGGTTAAAAGGTGGCAACCACCGTTGGATGATCTAATGATAAAAAAGTAAAATAAGATTTTATAAATTTCTGAGTTCGAGTCCCTGGAGGCTCTAATAGAGGTGACCACTGAAATGGTTATCTGGTCGTCAACTTCAGGATCCTATTGGGCAAGGCATCAATAGTTTTTGGGAGAAATGTTTCGTTCTATTTAATTGTTTCGGGCTTGTACAATGAGAAGTCTAAGGTGGTCGAATTGCTACACAAAGAAAGATGCAATGAAGAAGGGAACCTAGGAAATTAGGAATAGACACACCACTTTAATTATTCCAATCCTTGATTGAATTTGACAATTTGAAAATCTGGTTGAAGGCCTGGCCCGATGAAATCTAGTTAAAGGCCTGACCCAAAACAAAGTTGATGCAGTACCAAAGCTGTAAAAACTGGAAGTTCAGTTCCGTATGTGAAGTAATACTAATAGAGCTATTTAATTAAAATACTTTTCACGACGTTCTCGGTTCACATTTGATCAAGCGAGACCTATTGTTAGGTAGGTATAATCATTATAAATTGACCAATTTCAAACTAACATGTCGTATTTATAAAAGAAAGTTAATAAAAAAGGTTAACGAGTGAGTATTACCGGCAAATAGTGATGTGACAAAACACAATGCAATGGCATGTCATATCATGTATTACATCAATTAGACATGACTTTGTTTTCAACATACTCGCTGGATAATAAGGTAATTATAATTCATTTTCACAATAATAATTCACAATAGTACACATAGCCACGTAAAAACATATGGTTCAAATGAACTCACTCAACTTATAAAACAAATAAAAAAAGTCTTTACATTTTATGGAATTTATAATTTTGATCCATAAAAATGAATTATTGATTAACATATTTTTTACTTTTCTCTCTTCTTCCTTTCCACATGTTTTCTCCATATTATCTATTTGTTTAGTTAGATACTCAATAAATGCTACTCCTTTGGATTAAAGGTAAAATGGTGCTTTTTTTTTTTTTTTTTACTTAAATTCTTTTCTTTTATCTTTCTTAATTGATAAAAAATCTTGAGTTATAAGTTTTTGTTGAGTTTAATAAATAAGTTTAAAATTAGAAGATTAACTTCCTAGATTTTGATGTGGGTTTTGATTTAATCTTATTTATCTTCAGGTATGGGTTAATTAGTTGTTATTTTAAGTTGGGTTTGATAAATTTTAGTTAGTTATTGAGTTAATTTTGAATGGTTTAAATAATTAATGAAATCTTAAGTTGTAGAAATTTAAGGATTTGGTATAATCTTGATATATTAGTTAATTGCTTGATATTTAGAGTTGGATTTGATAAGTTTTCATAGGTTTATGAGTTGAATTTTATTGGTTCAGTAGAAATTGTTGAAAAAATTTAAGTTATAAGATTTAGGGTTTCGATTTATAGTTAATGTTTTGACCAAAAAACCTAGCTACGTCCCTACTCACAATTGGTCAACCCGCATATGGGTCCAATTGTGAGCTGATACATCAGAGTTGTGAGATTGGGTTGTAAACCAATATTTATTGTATTGATAAATGTCAAAACACTATCTTTTTCGCTCTTAATTTAATATGTATATAGAAGACAAAAAAAAGTTAAAATAATAATTTTCATGTATTTTTCATACATATTATTAGGTAAAGATAAGTAAGACTATTATCAACTGTTAGAGTTGTAAACTATTATTAAATGGTTGCATGATTCGATAGAAAACTCTTGAATGTATTATTTAAGAGGTCTTGAGTTTAAATCCTTATTCTATTGTTAATAAGGATAACCATTGAATTTGGAACATTTCTCTTTAATTATTAATTTAAATTTTTTGATAATTTGTCTAATATATTAAAAAAAAAAGAGAGAATAAAATCCAAGGATATTTTCTTTTTTAATATTAGAAAAAATTATATATATATATGCCCCGAAGGATAACCCTTCTTAATTTTTATTTTTATTTTAATCCTCTAAACACCATAAACTCATTTGCTTCCAGAAATGTGTTGTCGAATGCCGTGATCAACTAGCTAGTAAGCTTTCTGTTGTTAATGTTTAATCGGGGTTTGTCTTTTGACAAGAGGACCAAGCAAAACAGCTAAGATCTCGCTAAAAACCGGTACCTTTACAATTATTCTGCATCATAAATGCTTGATGTAGCTTTAACTGCGATTAATAAATAGCATTTCGTAAAATTTTCAGAGTTAACAATGAAGAGAACGCGGCGGAGCCGTGAACCTACCCGAGATCAGGTTCTTCTTTTTCTGTCTCTGTTTTTGTTATATAGCTAATTTTTCATGTCAAAAGACAAAATTTTGGCTTCACATCACGCCAAGAACTCGGTTCCGCACATCTAAATGACTAGTATAATATGTATATGTTATTTTAAAGCTAGCTAATGGTTTTGACTGATATTTATTTGGTAGTTTAGAAAGTAAGCTTTTCGTTAATGTAATTTGTGAGATTAAATGTCTGAGTTCTCTTTGTTAATTTTTATTAGTTATTTCTCCAGCAGGAGAACACAGAAGAAGTTTTGGTGGATTTGTTCAGTATACTTCCAGATGATATTGTTGTCAATATAATTCGTCGGTTAAGTTTTAAGGAAGCTGCAATGACTAGTGTTCTTTCGTCTAGATGGAAATACTTGTGGAGATATAGAACTAACCTTAACTTTAATGCTCCAAGGAAGCTGTGGAATGTTAACAAAGTGAATATAGTTGACCCTGAAGAAAAAAGGTTCCAGTACATCAACTGGGTGAATCATGTTTTAGCATCAATATAAATGAATTTACAATACGTTTTGGGTTGTTTGACTCTCATCAGAGTACCATTACTAATTGGGTTAGCACAGCTATAGCGAAGGGAGTTCGAAAGCTTGAGTTGGATTTTCATCAAATTTTGGGAGAGAGTCGGTAGCTATATAGATTTCTGCTGGATTTTTTTAACAATCTTAAAAGTCCCAGTGGGTTATCCAATATCAAGTATCTACAGTCTCTTTCTTTAGTTCGTGTGGAGGTTACCAGAGAGATTCTTGAGTTTTTTGTATACAATTGTCCACTTCTACAGCGATTAAATGTGGAATACTCCTCACATTTATCAGGTTTAAAGGTTGTTGGGCCATCAATCCGATTGAAGTATCTAAACCTTCACTGTTGCTTCTCAGTTGAAGAAGTTGAAATTTCTGCCCCAAGCCTTTTGTCATTTAAATTTTGTGGATCACAAATCAGGTTCAATGTTGAGAATGTTCCCCTGCTTCTTGATGTATCCATTGGTGCGAGGAACCATGTTCTACTGCGGAATCTTATAGGTCCAATTATAAGCATCTTCCCTCAATTAGAGACTTTGGAGTTGCTGTTGAATTTGACAGCGATTAGTAACTCTCAACTAAAGGATTTGCTTTCTAATATAACTTTTAAATTATATTAACTTATACCTGGTTCTCGTGTTATTTGCTTGCCTTGCCACGGTTCAAACTAAGAATTCTTTTCTACCGATCCCAATACATAAGGGTTTATAGTGTTTTGAACTTCCCTTTAATCGCATGTCCACTAAAAATTCTATGTATTATAATTCATAATATTAAAGACAACAAAATTAAGTTTTATTAGGGCATCTCAAAGATGTGATAGGTTGTCATTAATCAGTACAGGAAAGAATGAAATAAATGTGCAGCAAGGTAAAATTTCGATACGTAGAGATAATTAGGCAAAACAACAACTGCAAATAGATAAAAGCGCATTACGCAACCAAACCCCAAACTTGCATTTAAGCACAATACTAAATCAACAAAAAGGTATACCATAAAATCATCCCAAAATACAAATAAGCATATGATTTCCAACACTCAAAAAGGAAAAACTACTCAGTAGTAAGGCAAAATTCCAAAAGTTTCCTCACTTTTGCTTCAATAAAAGAAACCAAGTACTTTGCCACCAACATTCTTTCTCCTAGCTTCTTCGTGATCCATGATGCCAGCAGATGTTGTCAGCACAATATACCCAAACTGCCAATTTTATCAGTTTTATCAGGACACTTATTTAGTAAAAACAATAAATTGACCACCAGTTGGCAGTACCCATGACAGAAAATTCACGAAATGCAAGTGGTTGATATTCTTAACAATAAGTTGTTACCACAACTCAGTCAGACCCACACCCTTCCCCATCAGGCACAGAGAATAGGAAGAGCAATTCCTCATGCAAGTCCAGGCACATGTTTAGAGGTTCTTGTCTATTCATATACAATTATATCATTAAACATCTAACATGCAACCATCCCCCGTATCTATCCGCAGATTAACCATCATTTTTTCCCATGTGATTTTACAATATAAGCTAGCTTGCCACTCTTACTTTACATCAGAATTTTTTTTTTTTTTTTTCAATTAAAACCCTTAATAGTCCTGCACACTACCATTATTATATCCATTACAAACAATCTATTCCAAAATAAGTTGGGGTTTAAAGACCAAACTAACCTGTCTTGAAGGAAGCAGCCTTGCAGTCCAGCCCTCAATCTCTTTGACCCCGACATCAAAACGAGGACTGATTACCCCACATTTGTTCAGTCTTCCATTCAATTCCACCACAATTTTTCCAGATCTGTGATCATCAACATACTCAAACTCTCCAATGTAACCTATAAAACCAATTTTCACGAAATAATGAGGACACATATATTCAATTATCCAAATAGTTTCAGTGAAACATGAATAGAAATGAGAAAAAAACTATAACAAAAGAATAAGCAAACCATGTTTCTGCATGACCAAAAGAAACTTGATAATCACTTTTGAAGATGGTCTGATCATGACCTGTCGTTTCCCTCTCTTCTCTGCATTATACATGCTCTTAAGAGCATCATTCAAGACACTAACTCTCACCATCCTCACAAAAGCAAGCTGCCATTAATATCAGAGAGCATTAACCCCTTTCGTAAACAAAATTACACAACCTAAAGATATCTATAAAAACAGTAAACAAATTCAATGAGGCAAATTAGATAATCTACTTTTCACTTATGAAATAAGTTGTGGAAGTCTATTGACTTAAATTGTTCTAACAAACTCACTTCTTTAGTGACACTTTCTTTTACAACATCTTGGGAACAAGAAACTCATTCGTGTTTTTCTAACACCTAAAGATTCATTCCACGAATTCTCTTCCATTCAAGAATTTTTTTTAAACAAAAACATTCAGTAACAAATGATTTCATTTATCCTAACTTTGATCTATCACAATCAAATCGTACCAGCTCCTCAAAGCCAATAATAATCAATAGACTAGATAAAAAACATAAACAAAAATTCCAAATTGAACATGTTGCTGCCCTATAACAATGAAGCAATAATTTCCGGATAAAACAGACACTAGCTCAAACGAGAAACAAAAATAAGAATGAAAAAGCAAATCAGATCCGTTGAATGTAGCGATAAGTTGTTAATAGTTTTACCTCAGAGCAGAAACAGCGGCTGCGGTTTGAGGCTTCAAAAGAGTGAAGAAGCGCAGAGAGAAATAGAAGAAGTAGGGTTTTTGTTATAGGAGGCGTTGAAAGGGAGAGTTTTATTAGGGCTTATTTGGACCCTGGACAGGAGGATATTTTACAAAAATGTCCCAAGTTCGGGTGCACCTCGTGGGCCTGGACTCATTGGTGGGGTGATTAGGCCCTATTGAGACGAAGCATTTTGATAGGCATGGGAGAAATATCATATCAACCCTAAATGTTTCCAAAACATCACTTTCGGTGATAATGTCTCATTTTTTATCAAATGGATCCTGAAAGTTGCAAAAATACATCCTTTCTATCATCAATATGGCTATTATCCCAAAATGTTGAATCTGACCGAAATGAATTACTAATATCTTAATGACTTCAAAGTCGCAATTTTGACAGCAATATCTTTTTATTTTTTATGATTAAGGTGTCTAGACCAACTTACACGCACCTTAACTAATCTCCTAGACCCTTAAACTATGGACCGGATAAGAGCTTCAACCTCTATTAACATCCGAGAGGGGATTCGAACTCATAAATTCCTAAATAATATACTTAAAATCCTTATCGAATCAGTCAGCCATCTAGAGATAGTTGACACCAGTATCACTTTGTAGTTTCCCCAACATTTTTTACTTTTTTTTTTTATGTATTTTAAGTAGAATGTTGCCGCTTCTTTTCATACCTTTTGTCATATCTATAAAGTATTCATCGTCTAAGTGATAATTTTGGAAATGCTAGAGGTTATTTGCGTTAACAAAAAATGAAAAATTCATCGTCTGTTAATTATATACATTTATTTTTCTTTTTTCGCTTTTTCATTTAAACATCAATGTCATTAATTTAGTTTGAATATTAAATCAATGGATGCTAGATGAAAAAGGCTTGCTGTGCACATGATATCCGATGTGGGATTTAAAATGTAGCAACGGAATGATATTATACATGTGGGATAAAACGTAAAATTGTTTTCACAACATAAGATGACTCCTATTTTTGTTATTATTATCATCTCTTAAGACTTGGTAGTTATGAATGGATTGAATAATATATTTTACCCGCTTGTAATTATAAAGACTCCGTTTGGTACACTCTTTAAAATACTATTCTGATTTTCCTAATAAAGTTAAACAGAAAATTGGTCTTTGGTTCTCTTATTCTCAAAATATTATTCTATATTATTCAATTTCTTTTAAACCTCCTAAATTTGTTAATTTAACTAAACACCTTAAAAAATTTTAAAAATTAACAAAAACACCCCAACAACTCACATTTACCAGATTCCGACCACCACCGTCGGAATCTGGTATAATGGCGCACTACCGGTTGAATATGGCCGGTAGTGCACCGATCTAGCTTTTTTTGGCCAGATCTACAGCCAAAGATCTGACCATCAACAGCCAGATCTTTGGCCATAACCAGTCGTTGACAATCAAATGTGGTCAGATCTGACCGTCAATGGCCAGATCTAGTCAGGAAAAGGCCAGATTCACCGTGGATCTGGTAAAAAAAGTCATATCGATGCACGATCGGTCAGATTCAGTCAGTTGTGGATCGATACAATGACTCCGACCACCCTCCAGTGGTGGTGGCGGGTTGTTCGTATTTAATGGGTGGGTTAGGGGTGTTTTTGTTAATTTTTAATAGTTTATTATAAGGGTGTTTAGTAAATAAACAAACATATCAGGATATTTTTGTTAATTTCCAAATCCTATATTGTAATACTCATCAAATTTTACTTTTTTTAAACTATTATTCTAAAAAATATTAGAATAATGAATCAAACGGAGTCAAAATCTCTTACAACATGTAACATACAATTAATCAATAAGAAGATGGCACATCAACGTGAGTGAAATACACTTATTTCTTTTTATTGCCTTATTGTATGAAATATTTTTTTGATTGTGACAAATGTAAAATTAAAAAGGTGTATGTGTTATTATCTTATTATAGCGTATTATTAATAGACAGTTTAATTGCGATTGCATTTTGAGAAGCTTTTGTGTATTTTCTTATATTGAAATTGGTATGTTCATCTCATTTTTTACATCTCTAAGTGTTGT